AGAAGAGCATTGATTAAGTCAAAAAATGAGGGGATACCAGCCGACGTTTTACAAAATTTCATGTTCGTTTATCGGGCACCACCGAATGAAACGGTACCGGAGCCATAGTCCCCAGCAGAAATCCTGATGAAAAGAAAACTAAAAACGATCAACAGACTAATGCATCCGAGTAATGCATCAGCACCAGAACAGACAAAGTCTGAAAAGCAACTGTGAATCCTATTGATCAGTAAATGTGTAGAAGTTTATACCGAGCACCTATTCATAGTCTTTTTACTGCCCACATCGTAGCCTCAAACTCAGATTTCTTGTTTGATCAATTCGCAATTGACATAATACGCTTCTTATTCTGTCCCGAAACCGAACCTATCCTTAATGATGATGTATCTATCCTGATGAATGGCTGTCCAGCTGACGGAAATAAGCTAAGGAAACTTTACTATTTAAAAACCGTAAATATTTTATTAGTACACCATGCTGTCGTTGTTTCTATACAAACACTTGACTAGAAACAAAGACACAAAATGTGGATAATATTCTAACATAGTTAGTAAATCTGAAATAAAGCTAAAAAGGACCAATCCGTGGTGTGCGTACAAAGAAATTCGTGGATAGTTGTCTTACAATCAGTGGGACTAGGCGGCTCATATCAGCGGGTTTCGAAGCCATTGGCATCCACATTATAGCCTAAACTGTTGATAGAATGAAGTTGAAACTGGAACTTTAATTGGTTTGCTGAAATATTTGTATCAAAAAAGCTTCAAAAGAACTTAACAAAACGTTTATTACGCAGCTCAATATTTTCAACATGAACTACTATGTCATCCCGAAACGACCCAACGTTATCGGAACTAATTACAATCTGATTTATTGCCTGGAATATATCAAGTGAAGAATTTATTCGGAGAAGTGGAAATATGTATCAGAACAACCCGAATGGTGTATTGTATTCGGTTCATTCAGAATTCTTTCCGGTATAATTTATAAATATTCGATTTTAGGTCTACTCTAGAAAAAAATTATGCTTCCGTGATTTAAATAGTATGTATTTGGTTTCTTTAAAGGAACAACTTTGTTACAATGGCAGGGTATTAAGCGTCAACCGATGAACACAGCAAATTCTGAACCTTTTTTAACTTCAGCTCAGTTAAACAACTCATTTGGAATCTTTATCCCTTTTCCAACCCGTTCATCTAATTCATGTATACGCTTCATGAAGACGGAGTCACCTTTACGATTACGTGTGTCAACTCTACAGCCTTGTAACAATGTAGAATCAGATCGGCACTGGCCCATGAATCACAAGCATTTGTACCGGAATGATGATAACACTGGTTCAAGAATATTCGGATACTAAACTCTTATTAAATAAATCCAGGATTTCACTTTAAATGTCTAATTTTCATCGTATTGAAGTAAGTCCAGACAGTCTGGAATGTCACGTAGCATATCTCAAATAGTTATGTGTTGACATGATGACGGAATATGATTATCAGATAGTTATATGGTGAGGCTGTAGTGGAAGTAGAATAACAGTGCCTCCAGACCACACGATCACTGTAGCTGGGCAAATACTGGACATTGATTTTTTGATGAAAAGTGGTGGAGTCCAATGAATTTCAACTCCAGGTACAATCTGCAGTGAATGACTCAGTAGTAATGAGCCGACTGAGAGGATAATGATGACGTATTTCCATTGTTCATTGTTGGAGATAAAAACGTGGCTTATTCGTGGACACAAAACTTTTAAAAGTGAAATTAGCGAGATTGTTATAAAATTACTAATTTATTCTGATGTGAAAATCAAGACCGCTAAGTTCATATTAAGTTTCTTCGAGAAACGTATGCAGCAACTACCGGAAGCTATCAAAAGCGAACAGCGAACATGATTTATATATTTTACTTATCGCTGCCGAGATTTTACTTTCTGGCACTAAGACGTTGATCAGTTATATCAGTCTCACGTACTGTTGACCAACGGTTACGTGCATGATGATCTGTTCAAACTGTTGAATAATGAACAGAAGTGTTTGTTGTCGTAATTATTTGACAGATATTGCTGCCTGATGCTTGAATAAATGTTTCTTTTTTGGTTGTTTGTGATCACGTACGATTCATTGACATCGAGAATTCTGCTGTTATAGCCTATAGCACTGTTCAACATAACATACTTCAAAGTAATCTAATAATGGGCATAAATTCCGGAATTTTAGCAGCTTTCGTTTCAGAAACTGGTTGATTATGATGAAATATTAATTCCCTTTCCCTTTGTAGGGATCGAAGAGACAAAAACGATTGGTGATTGTATGGAGATGATGAAAACGATTTACTTAATTTGTAGCAATATGGTGAGTAATGGGATGTTTCAAGACTGCGTCAGCATAAGTCGCTTTCATTAAAGTCGGAACATCAGCAACGGCAAAATTTCAAAAAAGCAAGATATTTGGGTCAAGATTTTTTGAAACTTCTGGTTTCCACACATCTACACTTTGGACGTACATACATAATTAATGTTGGACTAGGGCTTTGCTTATCTGAGTCGCTGGGTGGCACCATATCACATACAGCTCTGGTGATCCTTAAAAACTGTAAAAAGTAGATCTATTATTGACATGCATATGACGACTGTTTGTAGTATTTACACCGGTTGTATCATTTCCCGGTCCTTATTTGAAAAACTAATCCGCTATCAACCTTGCGCTTTCTCATGGGATTGTGAAAGAGTGCTGTCACTTAGCTTAACCTTTTCAGTAACTGATCTGGAAATGTGGTGGCGTTTGTGGCTTATTGCCTTGATATATCAATTGATTTATTTACACCTCGTTCCGTAAACATTCCACCTTGGCGTCCGCTAACCCATCTTAACACTTTCCGAACTTATTTGCACCTCACCTAATCTCATGTACATTTTGGAGGCCGTAGTGAGAGTGCTAAAAAGACATCTTTATTCCCGTGACGGTGTTTTGACCGTACGTCATTCTTTCGCCCATGAATATGTTTCCGAAACGAGAATACTCCTCTCAAACACCGTGTTGTATCCAGCTCAGAGCTTTCATATCAAAGCGGAACGACTGTTCTTTATATTCAGTCGCTTTAAAATCATTCGTTTTTAACTTACTCGTTATATTTTTTAATAACCCTCTTGCTAATTACTGACTTTGCTATATTAGCCGAACTACTGTCTAGAGATGATGCAAGTTCATCGGAATGGCCCAGATTTCAAAAGAGCCCGACATACGTATGTGAGGCGAGCAAGGTTTTATCTATTTATAACGTTCTACTATTGGTGAATTATCACATTGAATTGACGTAAATCTGCTAAATGTATGTAGCTGTTTCTCGACAGCAGAAATAAAAAATCAATGAATTTAACCCAAATTTTTATTGTGATAGTGTTTAATAATCCGATTCGTGGTGGGAAATAGACAGTAGTTTGGACATACAGTCACTCAGCATAATACACCTGATGGACTCTCAAATATTGAACGTTGAATTTAAGAATCAGCCCATGAGAAAAATATTTTTTGGAAAAGTGCTAATTTCTGTGAAATGCATCTCAAAAATTATCTATTTTGGCAGAATTTAAGTTGTATTGTTTTTCTTCTCCCTTCCGGATGCGGAACAAAGCAAACCGGCGCTTTCGAATCTCATGAATGTGAGTAGTGTCAAATGGGTCTAGTATACCCAGAGTTTGGGGTGGTTAGGTGTTATTACATTCGCTTAAATGATTTTTAACGCTCCAATCAATGTGTATCATTGCTTGGCATCAAGATATTCATTGAATTACACCTATACGACGTTATATCATGTGCGAACAGTTAACCAAGTGAATGCATGGAATTTATTAAAATAAAGAGTTTATCACTTCCTGTATTTGTGATTTTTGTCATCTAACTTCGCACTCGTTTAGCAGATCTCATAAGTCTCCTACTGGGTTTTTAAATAAGTATTTTGAACTACTAGAACATTAGTGGTTGTTCCATACATGTTTGATGATCTTGCACACGTGATTCATTACTGTTAGAAATATGGCGTAAATTAACGGTGCTTAAGTGTGTTCCTTACGTTTTATTATGATGGTTGTGTCAGTGGGTTACGTTTTGGGGACAGTAGTTTCCGATGAACTGTAGTTAAGCTATGAGCGTGATTTTCTATATACGGAGGAAGTATTTGTTGATTTTTATTTAGTTCGTATGTCCACAGACTTTTTACCTCATGTTTTATGAGTTATTCTCTCCCCGTTCCGTTTTCCCGCACTCAATACTTCAGTTCGTTAGTGTTTATCAGCTAGGTTCGTCAGTCAAGTCCTCGTCTCACATCTCATTCATGTATACGGCATAGCAGCTTATAATAACAAAGAAACAAGTTATTTTTTTGATTAAGGAGTGTCACAAAAGCTTAAAGTCATAGACCAAGTCGTATGACAGCTCATGGTTGTGTACATTATTTCCGAATTATATTACATTGGTGACTTCCAGGACCACGTAGGCGGTATTATTTCCGACCATTTACGTAGTCGCTCTTCGTTTCTCGTGGATTAAGGCGTTATTAGGACACTTAGATGCGATTATTGTGTTTTTATCTCTACAAAATTCCTGTTTGGACACCATATGACCTAGTAAATAGATAATGGGTTATTGCCAAATCGGTCTTTACCGTCTTCTTCATTACCCATTAAAAAAATGCGTAAAGTCTCTTATTTTGAAAAGTAAGGGCACCAGAAAATGCGCAACAGACGAATGAAAAGACTACCGTCTTGAGGGCACGGCATTTCGATTTGATGCTCATATGTCAGTTTCTACGTTGTACATGACCAACAGAGACCAAAGTCCAAAGCTAAAAACACTAGTCATTTAAGTGGTTCCAAACCTTACTCTATTTGGACAACTAGGAATCGACAGGTACTACACTTCTATCATTCCTATTTATATCATTTATGATTTCTACCTCGTCCCTCTCATCATAGTGCTTTGCTTTTCAGAGTCACGAAATCCTGTCACATGCCTTACTCTTCAAGTTCACACGTTCCTCTACTCCCTTCAGATGCACGCCATAAATTGCAGCTCAGAAAATGCTACAATGACTCGGCAAATATGGCGAAAACAGATATAAGGCGGCATGTGCGGGATACTGAGCATGATGCATCTTTACGACTAGGTATCAAACGGCGATACAATTCACGTGGCAACAGTAATGTGGTCAACTATCATTCGGGAGAACAAAAGCGGATAAGAAAGTCAAGCCCCGGTTATACCTTTCCTAGTGCAGAAAGTCATAATTCTGATGAAGAATGGAATCTGGGAATAAACAAAACTGTTCCTCGTAAAGTAACTAGTTTATCTAGGAATCCTCTGTTAAGCATTCGACCACATGGTTACGGAAATCGATTTCACGGTTACGACCCCAATCAAGCTACTGTACCCAACAAATTCAAAAACTACAGGCTGGATGTTAATAATGCTAATCAAAATATGGATAATGAGCAGCTTTTAATGTTGTATTACAGTCATATGTATCAGCAGTACTACCGAACTTATACGGCGACTGCTCTCTCATTATCAAAGTAAGTTAAAACTATTATCTAAAATATCATACTACTTTGTTCGTAAGCAATACACAATGGTACAGATTTGGTTTCTTCTGAATCTCGTCTGCCAAGTACAGGTTTATGTATTTGAGGTTGAAATCACACTGAGGGCTAGTGATGCTACTTATTCACCTACTTTCATTCAAGTTTTTGTGTTACGATTTGAACAGATAATAATTCAATTTATTACTTAACTACAGGATAACTATTCCTAGCCGAATTTTATCATCGTGTAATGGGAACAGCGTAACTGTTGGTGATAAAAACTTGTAATATTCATATTGGTTGTAAGGTACTTACAAAGTGCAAGGAAGTCGAGAGGATGTTTCATATTTGATTTTATATGTTGTCTAATGTTCTGTAACTGGTCTTTTGTCAAAATCTACAAATGGATTCGAAATGGTCTCTTTGCACACATTGATAATTTTTCTCAATATTCAGTTGTTAACGAGTTTTTTAATACCATCTCGATATACTAGATTATTTTGTCATGACCTTATTGTGTATTTACTATTAAGCAAAAGAATAAAACTATGGTCAAATAGTGTGATCTTCAGTTTTCTCGCTGATCTATATAGTCCTCGTTTTCATCCACTTCCATTTCATTAATAATTTAACAATCGAACCCATTTGTGTTTATTATGGTTGCGTTATTTTACCATGTTTTTATATCAGAAATTGGTTGTTTCAGACTTTGTTTCTAATTTACTATCTTGTCAGAGCAGCAGATCAATAGTCATAACGCTGTGAAGCTTATGAAAACATTCGGTTTATTGTTATATATTGAAGTATTAAAGACTTGAAGCGGAGTGCCTACTTAATGTGAAGTGTGAGCTTAATATGTTGTGCAGAATAACAATGAGACCTCTGTAGTGAAACCATCTAGTCCAGAAGAAATAATGCTAAAATTGCTACGTATTCCTTCGGGATACTTGTGTTTAATTGCAAGAATAGTTAAACAGTAACTGGAAAGCCTCCAAAACTACTGGTTGATCTGTCGAATGAGTGCTATAATAAGATTTATTCGAGGAATTTCGGACTTTTTTGACAAACATTAGTCTAAGACGTAGTCATTTGTATAATCCTAAAACTCACTAGGTCTATCGTCAACTCAATGCCATACGATTATGTCAGTAAATATCCACCTTCATTTACGAATCATGTTCATTTAATAAGATTTTTAGAGTTGCAATAAATGTGGGTATATATTGGTACTATTCCATTTTGTTTTATTATTTTAGTTATCCCAATGCTGACTTACTACCTGCTGTTGCGGCTGCAGCTGCTAACAACTCAGGTATTCCATCGGATTTAACTTCTATAGGATCAGTACTATCAAGTGGTAATAGTTTTGATTTTTCCAAACATAATCGAGATGTAGATATACGTGGAAGGCGTCCAAAAAAATATAATAAGCATGAGTCATCTAATGTTTCTTCCCATTCACCTGAACAACGTCAACACTCACATTCCCGTACTTTTCGATCTAATAGAACAAACGACTCTTCTCGTTCCTCTGTGAAAGATACAGTTGCAAAAGGGAAAGGATTTAGAAAAAGAGAATCACCTGTTAAAGTAAAAAAGGCAGAATACACTTCTGAAGAAAGTGATGACCATTGCCCAGATTACGTCAGTAATGATCAACTTTGTAAAGAGAACTCAGCAAATGATGATGATGAAATTCAACAGAAATCTTCCAGACGCGTTGTTCGTAGACGTAAGTTTTCTAAGTTAAGTGTATTTACCTTTTGGTTCATCTTATGAATTTCGGTTAAGTTGCTTTAAATTACATATCTTCTACAACGTTTCACCTTTGAAAATAGAGGATATCCGTGGAGCACTAGTATATGATTGCAGATACCTCTGAAGTATCACTGGTGTATGTTTGGACTACCAATTAAGTGAACAGTGCTGAAATTAGATGCAACGTACTAGGTAAAGATGGCATTGTTTGATGAGGCTGTCAATTTTAAACTGAGTTAGTTGAGATATTTATTACGTATGCCCAATCACCACAAACCTTTACGTGCAACGTTGTTTTGTCTAGGGAGTAGTTTGGAAGAAAGTTAGTGGTGGGTAAGACAAGACATGACAGTGGTCTCTTGAATTATCGGCATTTAGAATAGGTTGTATCAGTAGGTCCAGGTTGTCTCGTTGTGGTCCTCTCTATTTTCGTATCCAATGGATAGAGACTCTGTATGACATGGCTCGAGTGCGCTTACTGTTTTTCTTCTTAGGTTTCTAAACCACTGTATATTTTTCTATCCCACGAATTCCTATTGTTTTCTTAGCCCCCGAATGCCGTTGAGAGAGTCAGCTCTCGAAATGCTCTCACATGACCAGTGAGAGCCAATCGGAGTTCACTATTTCACTTTATTCATAATGCCCTGGTACGGCCGAGAGTGGGGAGAGTCCGCTCTCCCTCTCGAAATGCTCTCACATGGCCACGCGTACATAGCCCCTGCTAGGGAAGTCCTACTCACTGCCTTCACGTGGCGGGGGTGTTGTTTACGAAAATGAGAGGACGAAAAGCGAATGTCCGGCGCTTTAACCGGATCCCAAACCAATGGTGCACATGGGCTCCAGTATCCTGAAGGAACAAATGGCGTATGAACCAATCGTTGGTCACCGGCTACTATGGGACTGCATCTCCTTACGATGCTCCACTGCCTTGTGGATCAGACGTTCAGGTCGAAGGCTCGGGGTGTGGCCCCCTAAGAAAACCACCTGCTTCGGTTTGGGCACCCGAGCAGTATCACAGCCCTCACACAAATCAATTGAGATTCGTGTGGCGCATATGTATTTGGTGCCTCCTTGGACCAATACCTATGTGTTAAAATAATAATAATAATTATTATTCATAATTCTTGTCAATATCTAAATTAATGGGGAGCAGATTTCTTTATTTTGTCACAAGAAATCACGTTGTACCATAAACTCTTTACAATATTGGTTCAAATTTTATTGATCACAAGAAAGCTCGTAATCGTTACTGTGATAATTAGATGTTGGATGCATAATTGTTATATTTCTTTTTGCTTTTGTATTGATGCGCTTACAGTCACTTGTAATTATTAAGCAACTTATTTCACATTAACACCAGTTCACAGTGACTGACTAATCAAGAATGTCATATCGGTGATAGTTTTTGAACTTAATGTTGATTTTGGTTACATTCGCTTATTTCGGTAGCTGTTTATTTCTTCCTTTTTGTAATTGTATCAATAATGTTCTTCCATAGGATATAATATGCAGCGTACAGATTAAGTTATTTGCTTATTGTTTTTTAAACCAATCAATAAAACTGCTTTGTAAATCATTTTTGTACTTGACTATTACTTTCATATCCGATGTTTTATATTTGTATTGTTAGGAAGTGTTCATACTTTTGGGTTAATATTTTCTTAAACTAGGCTCGACTGTTGAAACTACTACGTCAACCAGACAGAAAGAGGAGTCAGTTCATGACGAAGATAATGCCAAAGTGGTAACATCAAATACGTCTGAAATTATTACTGAGTCCAAACAATCATTCGGAGCTAGTAATGAAGTTAGCACCACAGAAGCAGTGTCACCAAATGAAACTGAATCTGTTGAAGAAGGTGAGGCTAAAGATGATGATACATATGGTGAGGAAAGCGAAGAAAATGAAGGCGTACTTGAAGAATCATCAAGCGAAAACGAAGCAGACAGTTCACGTGAAACAGTTAGCTCAAATCAACAAAACCAGAAAAAGGCGAATAATTTATCAGAATCAAAATCTTCAAAGGTACAGAAAACTTCCACATCCTCGACGTTTAACCGAGTTGCGGCAGAAGGCAAGAGACGGCATGTTGAAGTCCTGCCTACTGACACTTTACTTCCTACGTCCACTGAGTAAGTCATTTTACATAAGGATGATTAAATCCAAAAACGTTATTTCATTGGCTAAATCTCATATTTTCCACCTTAGGTTTGATCATGAACGTGGACCACTTTTACCTACACCAGTGGATGTGGATAGACGACATTTAAGAATTCGTAACTCTGGTAATGATTTATCATTATTCCCTGGTTGTGCTACAGCACCCCATATTCCAAATGTCTTGGAAGCTGCTGCACTAATGTCAGGTCTTTGTCCATCTCTATTTCCGTCTATGAATCCATCGAATTTATTAAATAGTCTAAGATGTCCTCCTGTTGATTTCGCTCCACCATTTTGTGATCTATTTAATTTACCGAATCCAATTGAAATTCAAAAACAAATAAATAGTTTAAAGTTGAACTGCCATCCTCCATCTGAGTCATCAGAACCTAAGTCTGGACGAAGTAAACATGAAAACTCCAAAATAAGAAGTGATGTCAGGGAAATTCGTTCCACGTTTAATAAAAATTACAATGTGAAAATTCGACGTGGGAATGACTCGGACACTGAAAGTAATTGTTCTTCTGGTTCGGATTATCAATCTCATGTTGTACGCAAATCTGTTAATAGGTAAGTGAACTAACGGACCTGTAGTTTATTTGTCTGCACTTAAAGACAGCCTTGCATAAGTGTTTTTGGTTTATTTAAGTTTGTTTGATAATACTAATAAAGTCAAGTTTAGTACGTTACCGACCTGTGTAAATTGAGTAATATGTTCTAGAAGTGTACATCAGTCGCAACTAACGAAGTGATTTGGTTATAAGAACACTAATCATAAAATGATGCCTTTCTAAATAGTGTGTAAGAATCTTAAGAATTAATCTAACTAGCTTCTCCAAACAGGTTACAAAATGTTTCCTTCATTATTAGTCTTATGAATGAAAGATTTTCATTGATGATCAAACGCCACACACTATTTGACTTACCACCGAGTCATGTTACAAGTACGACTGCACCACTTATGCAACAAAAAACTAAGATATATTTATTAATTATCTGTTTTTAGTTGTAGTGCATTTTTACCTGTCCGATAAGTTGCGTTAAACTGTCAAAAACTGGGAACATGTCACAGTTACGTGTGTCCGGGTTAGGGTTCAGTATAATTTTGTAGAACTCGTCTTGTCTGTAAATAGTGTATACATTTTGTAGAAATCCTAGTTATACCTATGAAAGTGGATTGTAGTTAATCTGGTTGGAGACTCATAACAACTTTTAACTGCTTGATCATCTTAATGATGTGCCTTTGACTTTGTAGACCACTATCTTCAGATAGATGTATGTTTGAGGCCCCGAAGAACAAGCATTCAGGGAAATTTTCAACAACACGTAAAGTGAAAGACAAAATGAAAAAAGAACATGAATCAGTATCAGATAAACAAGAATTATCCCGTAAAGGTAACAAATATATGTCTCCTGATGATGCTCCTGGCCCATCAGATACAAATTCCAATAAAGCAGTCTCGCGTGTTCCACGAGGTCCTAGAACACCATCTAGTCCACCATTGTCTTCTCAGGATGAAGGTGATTCTGGTGGTACATGTTCACATTATGATGTATCCCGTGAATCTTGCTCCAGAAGTTCTCTTAATAATAAGACGCGTCGACAAAATGAAATAACTAGTTCCATATCAGGTCGCTGTTTGGATTCTTCGAATTCGAACGAAAATCTATCTGTAAGAAAACCTGTTGTGTGTACAAATTCTCAATCGTCAAATAACAGATCGCCGAAGACACGCTCCTCGAAGCATAATACTAAAATAATGCGTGGTCGAGATTATCACAGCTCCAACTGTTCCAATTCATCTACTTCCGCATCTACTTCTCGGTCAAATTCTTATGGAGCTCCAAATGTCTGTAATACTTCCAATAAAAGAAAGAGATCTACAAATCGACATATTACACATTCCAATATAGGCATGTCCTACGAAGATAATTCTCCCAAACAATCATCACAGTTTGCAAATTTTCGTAGCGATGATACTGGTGATAGCAGTGACAGTTCGGTAAGTGTTTAGATAATTTTTAGAATTTTGGTTTATTCGAAAACAATTGATTTTAGCTTACTACTGTTTCATAGTACATTTCAGTTCCACTATTCTCGTTTAGACGTTGATCTGCAATGTATTTGTTCAAATCATTATGTTTTCCAAATGACTGAGTGATTAGTAACAGCACCAGAGTGAAAAAAATTATTTCAGTAATGTCGTACTATGATATAGGATTGATTCATGACGGTCATTTACCATTGATCTTAGTCAGTTGAATAAAACATCACACAAGTTCTCATTGCACACTGTTGACTTTTGTGAAGCTTAAACCGTACGATTATTCAATTAGAATAATCTTTTTGGTTGGTCATTTCCAAGGTGGTGACATGTTACAGTTTTGTAACGTATTCTTCCTTCAAATAACTTGACAACTCCTTATTAAGAATCGTAACTGCGCATTATACTATCATCACAGATGTGTAAATGTCCATACTAACTTATTAGATTAAAATATTTCAAATCCCTTTTTTTAATCTTATGTAAACAAATCACAATATTTTTTAAAATGATAACTATAAATATGGTGTATTCCACAATAAGTTATCTTGATTTAATTGCTATTTACATATACTGTTGAAGTATAAAGAAAACTATTTTCTTTTCAATAGGATCAACAAAACCGTGCACTACCTGCAGCCTATGCAAATCCTCATCAAACCGACCGACATCGGTCACATTCATCCGGTGATGTTGAACCTCCACCTGCTCCTTCTCCTCGTAGTTCATCTTCTTCCACTTCCTCTTCATCATCCTCTCGTTCATATTGTCACATTCGCTCAAGTTCAAGTAATCTTCGAGAAAATAACAAGATTCAAGTAATATCATCTTGTTCTTCACGTCATTCATCATCATCTCAATCACAAGACAGAGGTAGACATAATCAGTCGAAGTCACGACGGCAAGGTATTAAACCTAAATCAAAAAAACTAAATGATAGCGATGATCACAATCGACAAACCCGCTCTTTAAAAGAAAAGAAAAAACTGTCTACATCCGTGTGCCATAGAAGTTCTGATTCTGGTGATGATATCGATGACAACAATAGAAGAGAATTATCGAATCCGGTTTATAGTTACCGTGATTCTTCATCAGATCTCAAAGATATTTCTTCTAAAGAGTCATCCATTTTGAGACGCGGAGAAGATGCTTGTTCTGACGTTTCTGAGGATGAGAGCTCAACCTCAGGTAATCGACATGTGCGTAGACAGTCCTCTCGTTCTCCAACTTCTTCTTACACTTCTTCAAGAAGTACTGATCGTAATGTGTCAAATCGTAGAAACAAAGAAAGAATGATAGAGAACAAATACAAACATTCCAGGCGAAAGCCGTGTACTCCTGATTCATCATTATCAAATACTCGCAAATATGGACAGACTAAAAACCGAAATGAACATAATATTGAAGAAAAACATTTTAATAGTAACCGTAAACGTGCTTTACTTTCTCCACCAACGAGTACAAAACCTGAAACTAAAATATGGCAATCAAGGAAAGGTTATGTCAATGAAATTCCCACTTCATCTTTACGACATCCTCAGCTTCCAAACTCTCATCGCTCAGTGAACAAAAAGATTTTTCATGGGCAAGTTACTTCGAAAACATCCAGGTAGATATGGTTTTATAACTATTTACTGCGTTTGTGTTATAACATGAATATAAGCTGACATATATGTTGTATATTTAAGATGTCTGTATTTGTACCCATTTTTGGAGTTTCCATATTAGTGAGCTTCAAACATAATCTACGCTTCTGTGTTATTTTTGCGTTTGTCATACACATTTTAATATTTGTGTTCTTCTGATTGTTTTAAATAGAACAATCATGTTGAGTAGACCGTATATTTAATTTAAGATTCGCTTCCTAGTATTAACAAATTTTCAATGCTCTCTATTGCCTTTTGATTGTTTCAAGTAAACTAAACATATTACTAACATGATTTTCAGTAGGTTGAATTGGTGTCTTGAATTAATTTCCATCAGTTATGTGTTCTCAGCCCTGTTAGCATAATGAAATACACTTGGTATAGTGCAACTTGTTAGGATAATAAACAATACTAATTGCTCTATAATGATGCTATCTGTTCGTTGTGCATAGATTAGTTTTATAGTAGTTGGAATATTATTACGATGTGAATCGTTGAGAAACTGTCATTGCGGAAATACAGTTTAATGCTCATCTGTTGACTTGGTCATGAATGTTTTTATTATTTGTTAATTGTCCCACATGTTTAGATATTTTCTGACTCATAAAACACTTGCGAGTTGTCAAATCTGTTGATGGATAGTCACTAACTATTTGTACATCTCTATCATCGACTCGATTATGTCATTTAAATGTTTATCAGATCACAACACTAAAACATACATAACTAAATTTTTTTTAAAGATTTGTCATATAGATGAGTTTATTTTTGGGAAATGGCATAATCAGTAGAGAGTGGGACTTGGAGTACTATAGTTCCGTTTATAAACAAGTGTACATGTCATTCTTTTATAAGCAGGATATTGTTGAATTTTTTCCGAGTGTAGTATCATAACTAACACCCATATTTTTATAATATTGGTTGTTGAAAGATTATTACTCACATTCCATACCTTCATTGAAATAATCTTGGTTATAAATACATTTTACTCTACAGGCGTTCGAGTGCTATAAAAAATCAGCGAGAAGAAAGTTCTTCTTGGTCAACAATGGCTCATGAACGTCATACTCGCGATGGTCATTATGGTAGTGGGTCATTTAAATCTGGAACTATGCATATTGACATGACTGATAGTTCATCTCGATCGAGGCCACCTCGTTTTGGTCATACAACCAATAACAAGGATACTAATGGTATGCGACAAAATTACACCTCTAGAAATTATCCTGTAAAACATTCACATATTAAAACGGATGTACATGACTCAAAATTACATTGGTCTAAAAGCGGCAACTCAAGAAATTTTCGCCAACCAGTTACCTCTTCAAGTCGATCACCTATCGGTAGAGCTGGAAAACATATTGGGGCATCAAGTGATCATCATCATCACCAGAATGCACGTAAAAAACAAACAGATATTGTATGGGAGCCTGGTCCTAAAAGTATTAAAAAAGTAAATAATAACTATTCAACTAAAGTTTCCAGTTCTAAAGCACTTTTAAAAACACCTGAAACAACTTCACGGCGTGCAGATCATCATCATCATAGTCAACATGAGTCGTCTAGGGATTCTGAATCGCATAATTCCGATTCTTCAAGTAGCTCATCTGTAAGTTATTGAATTATTTGAGTTATTCTTTATCATTGGGTTTCTTGAATTTCTCTGATTATGTGTATATACTTATCTAATGAGTCTTTTAGATAGAAAATTCACTAGCTTTTCATTCTTGACACATCCCACTTAGTCATAATCTAACTCTTCAAAATTGCTCAATTTTATCTTGGGTTTTATTATTAGTTTTTGACCAACCATTACTGATTAAGGTTAATAATTGTTCTGCAGTCTGTGTTCGTTAATTTTTCGATGATCCTAGTCAGTAAAGGCTTATCATGTCAAGTGATTTAGTTTAACCTCATTCATCTTGTATCTTAGCTTCGATTCACTTAGTGTTTACATATGTTGATATTTTTTAATATTATTAGAATCATGTTTTATGACTTTTGATCACATCAACGTGGATGTATGCAACGATCATAAGAAAGTAGATCGAATTGCATTGAAAATGCTTAGGTTACTTAAGACACCTATTTATGTATTCATTTACTGTTGTAATTTAAGATAGTTTTTAGTAATTTTTAATTCCGAATAATTTGTGAGATTCGATTTAATATGAAACAAAGTTTATGCAAACTAGATAGACCGATTAACTAGTACACAATATTGCAATGCTCGAGGAAATCTTGTAAGAATGATGTATTGTGGAAGTCCCAAGAAGAATTAAATAAAACAAACAATAAGATATTCATTTGAAAACCAAATGAATTCACTTCAAATCATTATATAAATCTTAAAATTAGTTTCTTCCTAGAAACTGTATGTCAGGGATTTGACATTCTCATCATACACCGAATATATATATACATATATATATATATATATATATATATATATATATATATATATATATATGTTTCGGTTCACTAAACCTCAATTTATTGATCAAAATATAGATACCAGCGTAGTTTTTTACGGAGGGTAATATATATATATATATATATATATATATATATATATATCTTCTTTATAGTGTTTTGTGCTTGTGTTTTTCATCAGTTTAAGCCTTTTCTGCAGAAATTAGACACATTTTCTCGTGACAGAGTAACATCGTTGTAGTATTCCAAGATGATTATTTGTTTGAAAACATAATCCTTATTTTTTTAAAGTTCGTTTCTATACTTTCTAAAATCTCCACACAATCCCTTCTGATAAAAATACAAATGTATAAAAAAAAAGTGTTCTAATGTTTAATCTTAAAAGAATCTTCAATGTAATTGATATCATGCATTTCAATTCACAAAATAAACGATAATCTCCCGTGACATAATAACTTCAAAATTTTTTTATCGTGATAAGTATACATTCTATTTTTAACAGGCCAACTTACAATTTGTCGTATATATCATCATCATCATCACACACATTTATGACTTCCTTTTTTGTTCGAAATCAATTTCCAATCAATATGTTTATGATTGTTTTTTTTATAGCTCTCTTTAATCAATTGTCAGTTGGTAGATTGATCGATTTTATATTTCAGTTCATTTAAAGATTTACACTATTCTATTTGGAATTGTTTTATTGCTTATCAGAACTTTAAAATAGAATCATAAGGTGTAATGATAAATAATTGTTATAAGTTAGTATAGATTAGTATTTAGGTAGGGTTTATAAATGGTTATGGGTTATAATGATATATAACGAATAGTATTTTTCTCCTTAAATCATTGAGGTAATAAATTTAGTGATTAAGACATCCGACCTACAACCACTAATTACCCGTTCCACTTGCTTTGGATTGGTCAATTAAGTAGTACCACATAACCTTACACTTAAAGTGTGGCTTATACCCAAATCCCAGATGAACAAGTTAATTTTTCTTCATTTATATGGTACAGCCATTTTCTTGTGCTAGCAATGTGTAATTGCTTCACATCCAAGTTAATTACACTTCAACGGTCACAGTTTTTCACTAAAATCTTGAAATTCAGTAATCTCCACAAAAACCTCTAAAAAAAATATGAATTGATTAATTAAGAGTTTCATTATGTATTACTGATACCATTGTTGGACGATTCATGATATTGTATCCAATGTAAAATGCGTACATTAACTGGAATTTTTAATTTTTCAGTGATTATCATTATTTCTCAATATATAAACGACTTTACGAAGTATCCTATGATTTTTCTTGTCTATATGTGTAGGTTTTTTTTAAAGAATTTTGTTACTAAGATTATATAATCTATTTTTAAAACTAATTTTTACTTCATAATATAGTCATTATTACCAATAATAATGATAATCGATTACTTATTTATCCTTTGACCAATTTCTTGATTTGCTTTTATGTCTGGTCTAATATGTCAATTGATTGTTCTTCTTTCTCTCTCTCTCTGTGTTTGTTTGTGTGTTAACATGTGGCAAAACCAGTTCTTCTCTTCATCTCCATCAACACAATCGACTAAGTGAATTCTTATTAGTTATGTATTGTATGGAGGCCTTTTTTTCCCTTCAATCTTATGACATGCAGTAGACTACTGTTTCAAGGATATGTTTTGCTGCCTAAATGCTGCACAATTTTGTGTTTGTTTTTAATCACAATGGTTATGTGGGCAAATGAATTAGACTGTATATATCTTTCTTCTAATTTCCTAACTACGCCCACGGTATGTAAAATGAAAAAAATGTGATAAGTGGGTTAGTTTGTGCAAATATTTTTCTACTCCTCAGGGAACTGTGTTTTATTGACTTTGTTCATGTGTGCGTGATTATACCTGTGTGTGTGTGTGTTAACACATAGTAATGTCAACAGAATGATTTTGTATTTGTCCGAACCTTGTGAATGTACACTTGGTGTGCGCGTTTTCTTCCACTTTTCTGCGTGTGTCTAGAAACAAAGACAATATATTTTTACCACTAAACAAAACTATCTTATCGGATCTGATTGATGGCAGTAATTTGGAACTTGTTGTGCAGCCTATTCTTATATGATAACTTATTCGGTTTCGCATAAAATTTATCTGCCCTATTGCGCACCTTTGATATATATTACTTCATCAACAATTCATTTGTACATGTACTTATTGGTTTAACTTTTCTGGATTTTCAAATAACACAATATCCTTCTTCACTCACTTCTATGTTTATGATTGGTTACGTCGATCTCTATCATCACATCACAATGTCTATATAGTGTCATTCATTTTATTGTTGGTATACATGACAGTTGAATTTCGGATTCCATATATATATTATCAACATCAATTTTTGTTAAATTCACCTTCCAACTGGGGCAAAAAACAAGTTATCCGGCCAGACCTACCAACCAAGGTCAGCCATCAGATTCACCCATTTATGATAACACATTTTCATCATCTGATTTTAATCATTGTACATCAGATTCTACAAATAATTTACAGCAACAAGAATTGTCATCAGTAGTACATTCATCACTTAATTGTATACAGTCATCAAGTCGTGCGAGTTTTAATCCGACCTCTTCTGCCTTATCAACTGAATTTTCTAATTTTGTGCCAAGAATAACTTCAATTACTTCTGTAGAATCTTCCAGTGGTATTGTTCAACCTGTTTGTCTACAGCATTTAGTACCAAATTGTTATCTTCCTATCGCTATTTGCACATCATCTTCCAATTTAAAAGAAAACAACACTAGGACACTAACCAAACAAACACCTGAATACTCTTTGCATAATTATTCACAAAATAAAGATCATCAATTTCATTTTTTGGAATATGCATCGAACTTATTACATCCCTCTTATTCATATATACTAGTTGGATTGATAAATTTGACACTTTCTGAGCAAGATTTTTTATATTTTACACAATCAGTACATTATCATGTTTTACTTATAGTTACAGATTGTATAGTTTATCATTATTGTAAAACAATTAAAAATAGTGTTCAATCTATTTATTTATCTAATCCACTTTTATTGTCCGATTATAAACCAAATCCTGTGATAAATCCCACAGAAAATTCATCAAACAATTTCACTAACTTATCAAATATTCAATTATTAACATCATCAGATTCAATTTCTATATTGGAACCTTACATAACTGATTCTTTTCATCAGTTGACATTGATCTCTAATCAGTTAGGTTACATTAATTCTCCCAAAACTAATCATTATTTAACAATTATGTCTACTTCATCTACTCGCCCACCAAGAGTTCCTGCGAATTCAAATTTAGCATCTACAGTTCGTGGTACTGGTAATAGTCATATTAATGATGGTTTAAGTCGATTACGTGTAGGAAGCGCAGCATCTAGAGAGTCTTCTTATTCTCCACCAGCTGATAGGAAACCTGCAACAACACGACGCACAATCAAACCTACATATGGCGTTAAAGCTGATGAGGTGAATGCAGCGCTGCTACGTAAACTTGAAAAAGCTACCTCTAGTTTTAATCATCCAGATTTTGAAGATGATACTGGTGGGGCGTCTTCAGACAATGATGTATTTGATACAGAAGACGATGGATGTGCAATGAAACATGATGAAGGCATCATTTTGTTGGCCACTTCATCATCTCTGTTGTCTCCAGAATCACCAGTTTATGGAAATGAGGCTGGTGCTGGAGATCTATTGCCTACATCATCTTCTTCAGTCAAATCTCCTGTAAACCAATTACTTAAGGCACTTACTTCTGGCAGTAGATTGGTTACATTGAAACCAATTTCAAAGCATGAACTATGTCAAAAACAAGTTCCAAGGGCAAGCACGGCCACTCAGACAAATGACATACGTCTTGTTTGTGAACGATGTTCAAACTATTTCTCATTGGATACAGAACAGGCTCCTTCATCATCTACTTGTATAGTTAATAAAAGAGAAGAAAAGCAACAGCCATCTTTGTATAAACTCAGTTTATTCACTAGTGTGATAGAATATATGCCTTATCTAATACCATTATCTCGTGGTGTTCCATTAAGACGTATGCGTTCCACTACAACTAGTAACAATCCATTAGTTTTCGGTGCTAATTCACCTAGATTTCGTTGGCCAATAGATGGTGAATTTGTGGATTGTACTGAAACTTTACCGGATCATCCTACAGCTGTATTCACTGTTTGCATTATTTGCGATGGGTATACTGCAACAAATGTTAGGTTTACTAAGAGAGTAGAATATTTTAGTCCTCCATGCAAAGCATCAGTTATTGTTTGTGGTCCATTTACTTTCAAGTCATGTTCTAACACAAAGTCAGGCAATTATTTAAGAAGGCTGGATAATTTAAATGACATATCGAATACTAATGCTAAAAGTAATAACCTACACAATGGATCAATGAAAAAATGTTTGAACTCCAACAATGTAATTGATGAGGAAGAGAATAACAAACTAAATGAAAATAATGAAGATGAGGATTCCGAGTGTGAAACAGTTGGTCGACGTCTTCGACGACAACTTCGTCGTACACAAAAAACACAGGAGATAAATGCAGCTACTGTTGCTAGTGCAATACGACAAAATGCAATGATAGATGGGTCTATGACGTACCAACAAAACGAGAATCACATAATGAATACTGTTAATACATCTGCTAATGATAATAATAATATTAATGGTAACGGTATTGATAATCATTATGCCAATAAATTAGTTAACAATAATACTGATTCACTAGCACAAGACATTCAAGATCAAGCTACGTCCAGATTAGCTGTTGCCAGACAACGTGCCAAACGGTTTATTGAACTTAGGAAACTTAGCGTTACTGAAAGTTTAAATGAGAATTTATTATTAAGACAAGAGGCTGAGGTGAATTTATTTGTTTGTTTTTCTAAATATTTTTATTTATCCTATAAGTGATAATGTTGTTTATTTTATATTCATATTATATATAAACATGATGATATAACTTTTTAGCATAGTATAATATGAGTATAAATGATTAACCTGTTAAGCAAGTTATAATTTGTATACATTCCATAGAGTAGTTTATCATTGTTATGTTTCATATAAGCATGATTATAGGTTTGGTGTTTTGTTATCCATTGTGTATTATTATGTATAGAGTTAATTCAAGTGTATAGAGTAGTGACTAATTATTTTATTTTATTGTATTTATTTATTTATTTGTTATGGACTTGTACGTACGTACGAAGTTCCACGTTGTTACTGACTGACTGACATTTTACATTTTATAATCATTCTACTTTATACATAGAACGATCCATTATATACTAATCTTAGCATAGTTCATCACTGTATATTTATTCATGTGAATGTTCTTATTTAAAAAAAAAGTGAGATATTCAAAGAGATCGAATTTTTTAATGTACAGAATGTTTGAATCAAAAGATAATTGATTAAGAAGGATACATTTAATAGTGTGTTTTATACTCTATTTGTTTAATGATCTGTCACGGTTAATAATTAATGCATATTAGATTATTGATTCACTCAACGTACTTCAGTTTGCATAGTATGTCACACACAGTGTGTGTGGCTAATAATTATCCAAGTACATTTGTACTTGATGAATTAGTTCGATCTAATAGTCTTAATTTTATCAAACACCTACAGGTTCTTAAGAATTTTGTCGGAGATCATCATGAAATGACCATTTAATTGTGATATTGCCTTTTATTCATGTAATACTTTACATGTCTGAAATTTTTTCAGTTAGCCCGAAATTAACGAGGTACATCAACCACATGTACAAAAATTTGATCAAGCAATTGAAATTCATAAATGGTTGTATATGTATGTTGTTAGCAGTATTTGTATCATTCTTATTCTGTTATTCCGTTGAAAAACCATTTGCCCTCTTTAATATCAATGTAAAACGGGACAGTCTATATTTATGATTAGACATTAACAACTAGCATGTTCAAATGATGATAATGGAGAATGTGTAAGATTATAGTAATCTACATTTCTAAATAACTCGTGATTGTTATATAAATGCTTATCTTAGAATAATGCACTTCAATTGTACCTGTATACTTATTCCTAACTAAAAGAATTAGTTAGGTGACATATTTTTGTTGTTTTCTAGGTATTTTCAATGCTTAAATGTGATATTTTATATTTTTATTTCTTAGTCTCCTGAAGAAGAAGACGATGATGAAGTTGTCGACGATGTTGACGGTCATCTAATCTATAGTATTGGTGATCGTTTATTGAATCGATGTAAGTCGGTTGTGTACATATTGTTGTGTTTTTCTGTTCGATATACTCAATTATGAATTATTTTTAAATAACAGGTCTACTTGTTGATATTATTGTGTCAGTCACAGACAATTTCGTGTGCTTATTCAGTCATCTTAACAATGTTACTAACATGTGTTTGTGATGATTTCCTCGTGATTAAAGTATTAGATTCTCAGCCAATAGATCTCAGGTTCCAGTCTCATCTCGCTTATTTCACTTTCCAAAGTCATGTAGTATCATAGGCTTCACAGGCAAAATGTGTCTCAAACTATAATACATAAATATGTACTTCATGCATTGTCAACGATACCTTATATATTCTTGTAAATTCATATCTTGGTAAGATTGTTTCTTGATTAAAAATTCGGTCGAAAACTGTTCCTGAGGATAGAATTATTTAATAGAACCAGAAAAAATGTATTAAACAATACTACTGTCCTTAATAATTTGAGAAATCTAATGGAATCCTAGATCTCGATCCTCTTTCTGTGCATATTGTTGTTGTTATTGGTAAATATTTATCAAAATATAAAATTTAAAAAATGTGTAAAATTATCCCTTGGAAGATTTTAACAGTTTTTTGAGGTTTCCATTTATTTCATGCTAGCCTGTGACCAGCGATTGCTTTATACACCATTTGTTCTATTAGGATTATGAAGCCCATGTACATCATTGGTTTGGAATTAGGGTTTTCCAACTCCCCTAGATGGATCCTCCACATCCACATTCGTCCTCTGAATTTCGAAAACAACACCGCCACAAGAAGGCAGTTTTATAAGACTTTTAGTAATTACTTTAGATTGATATAACTTGAAATCTGGCCTATGTATTCATTCAGATTTCAGTCTGTTGTTGTTATTATTGTTTTCATAAGCAAATTGTTTCTATTCCCAGCAACTGTGAATGCTTATTTATGGTACATTACATTGAATGTCTTCAATCAAAATCATGATAATAATTCAACTGAAAAAAGTTATGTACCTTAAGAGATACTTATTTTGAATCTTTATTTGCTCACACACACTCTGTCTCTCTCTATTTCTTGTCCGTAACAACATATTGAGATTTACCTCTTAATAATATTCACATTGTATGTTTTTGTATATAAAATTTTCATACCACCTTTTTACATCATTGTCTAGTTTCATGTGTACGCTTCATTTGAAATTAACAAGCTTGGAAAAAGAAAATTAATTTATTAGAAATGAATTCATTTTGAGAGTTTTCTTTTTAAAGTAGTCACTACATTTTTCTAATAGTTTTTCTGATGTTTGTTTATGTCAAGAAGTTTGTGTGAAGTTATTTACTAAGCTTAGTAGATAGAAAAAAAATTCAAAGATGTATAAAACATTTGCTTGTGGTTAGTACCAGGATTTTCTGGTAGTTTGAAACATGTGGCAAACGTGTTATAAACCTGAAGGTATTTAGTTATTGTCCTAAAATCTATTACAAGTGCACATCAGAAATGGAATGTATATGAGTACTGAGATACTACCTACCTGCTCAAACTGAAGGTGGTCATATTCGGGGGACACTCGATGAACCTTTGTATTAATGATCCAATCCACAGTATAGTGGAGCAATTATCAGGAGACATCGTCCCATAATTACCAGTGACCTAGAATATGTTCATATGCTATTCGTCTCTCCAGGATCTTGGAGTGAACATACACGATTGGTTTGGTATCAGAGTTTTCCGATTCTCCTAGGTTAAGCTTCTATGTCCACCAACATGATGTCCTCTTTTCCACTTCTCATCTTTGTAAAAGACTCCCATCGCCTTAAATGTAATAAGTAGATAATCCCTAACAGAAGCGGTGATTAGATCTATATCCCATTGTTAGTAATTATCAAGAATGTCAAATCATGTTAATGTTTTCATGATTGTTTTTTCTTTTTCGCAATTAGATGAAATTGTCAAGACACTTGGGGAAGGTACATTTGGTAAAGTTGTTGAATGCAAAGATCATGTACAGTAAGTTTAATTAACGCTTAATTCAACATAAACATTATTGTTAACATTGTCATCGATTTTTCATCTTTCTATTTATGAGTAACCGTTCACATCTTTTTTAGTTAATTCTCGTAAATGTAGTCATCAATTGTTTCACTCAGTAATTTTTCTGACATTATGGACGTTTTATTATGTAATGTTAGGGGAAGTAGTATGTATACACTGATTCTTCACCATAGACTCACTGATATATGTAGCTGAAAGCTTTAAATCTAAATAACCTTAAGTTGTTTTCATATGACTAAAAGATAGATCGTATTCGTCAAGTGATACTATCGCTTGAATGCTTTAACTACGATCGCTGTGATGAAGTATTGCACTGTTCGAATTAATAGGCGTCGTAGTCACTGAACTAATTAGATATTGTGGTACGGACAGAAATAAGTAGCTGTTAACAGGAATTCGAAATGTAATGCTTACTAAGAGAAGAGGAAGAAAAACAGAGCTCGATCGGAATGAGAACAGAATTGGAAGAATCGTGGATTATGTAAAGAAACAACTCAAGAAAGATATGTGAATGAAGTATTTAATGTAGGATTTTCATAGTTTACAATGGCACTGTTTAATTTTGCTGAAACAATAAATTGGTTTACCGTGATTGAGTTTCCATTCATTATAATAAGATTTTAACATTTGTGAGACTCGAATTCAATTCTTCTATGCCAAACCGTGTGTTATCTCAATCTTTTTTTTTAAATTTACCATCGTAACATGTTTTTAAACTATGTGATGATTCGAGGTAGTCAAAATGTCTTCGACCTCCCTCTGTCATGGCTTGTGTATTATACTTTTGCTGTTTTCATTTCAGTAATAAAAATAACTTATATTTTGAAATTATTACTTATTTATAAACTGTTCACTTGTGAATATTCTATTTTTGATCTTTTTACTTCTTTCCATGTGTAGAAATCGTAGAATTGCTTTGAAAATTATCAAAAATGTTGATAAATATCGTGAAGCTGCTATGCTTGAAATCAATGTTTTAAATTTCTTAAATGAACGTAGTGCAAATGTTGAACAGTAAGTAAAATGTGCTTATTTTATTCATATATTTATTGCTATCATATGGTCATGTGTATATAACCACTGTTAGGGAAGTTCTATTCACTACATTATCACAAACAGGGTGTTGTTTATGAAATGAGGATGGAAAACGAATGTCCGGCGCTCAAACCGAGTTGGTAGGTACGGAGGATCCGATCAGAAGAGTTGGAAAACCCTGATTTCAAAGCAATGGTGAACATGGGCTCTAGACTCCTAAAGAAACAAATGATATATGAACTTATTGTTGGTCATCGGTTATCATGGGACTGCATATCTTAACGTTTCTCCACTGCTTTGTGGATTAGATTTCTAGGATAAAGGCTCGAGGAGTGGCTCTCTAAGAAATCCATTGATTTCGGTTTAAGTACGCGGACAGTATCCCAGCCCTCAGATCCAATGATTTGTGTGGCGCTTATGTATTTTGGTGGAATTTTGTACCAATTTTTCTGTTTATGTGGAAAATTCCTATCCTTATTATTATAATTTAGAAATTAGAGGTGTAAATCACAAACTACGTTAAAAACCATCTATTTCCAGTGCTAAGGTGTTCTTTTTTCCCACCGTTACTCCACATCATTTGAACTGTCTTCAGATTGAACAATTGCTTGAAAAGTTTTGGTTGCCATCCTAGAATTTGTACATGGTAGTGATTCATACAGTTACTAACATGTTTTGAATAGTCTGTAAAAAAGAATTATGTAGAGCTTCCTTTTTTGACTTTGTTGATTTTCCCCCCTCCAATTGCCTTATAGACATAGTGATACAAGTACTCTGACAGGGTACGCTAGACAGTTTTGTTCTCAACATTTGTTTCAACAATATGTAAATTTGTCTGTGACGTTTTAAAATCCATGTTTTGTACGCTGATTCCTGCAAACTGTGGAGAGTTATATGAAATTGAACAATAGAATCATATGTTTTACAAACCATATATTCATCTATTTATTGTAATTGGGTTGAGAAGCCAGTGATTATCATTACATAATATTATAATGCGAAAGCTCCATATAGTTTTGAATCAGTTTTTTTTCTGACTAATTCTTCAACATTACACTCCAGAAATAAAACTTAATGATTTATCAAGGCTCTACTGTTGTTGTATTTAAACAGATGGTATCATTCAAAAGATTATATTATTAGAATAGATTACTTGTGGCTTACAGTTGAATCAAGGATTCGTATTTTATTCTTTTTCGGACTTATCAATTAGATTTACCTGAATCCTAGTGTTAATGTTCATACTAACACTTAAACCCCAGTACCTTTTGCTTCAAACATCAATGAGCTATCTACTGACATACTAGGTCCACATAATCATTTTTTTTCAACTGTTTCGATGTTTTGTATCATTTGTCCAGTGGATAACGCATTCATATTTGAAAATAACTACTGAACTCGAGATCGAATGTGAACATCCAACATCCAGATACACATCTAACTGACAAGTCCTAGATAGAACGGAACACACATTTCTGAATTCCCCATTTTTCTATCGATTTTCTTTATACTTCAAAAATAAACAATAGACAATAATTAAAATAACCCATTGTATCGTTAAATAGAAATAAAGAGAATTCAGCAAAGATTTTATTTTCGATGAAATCAAGCTCGAACACTGTACTAAAATTATACGTCCAACCTCTCTTCCCTCCTTGACTCTAAATCCCTTCTGTATTATATTTTGGTCTTGTTTTGTTCTGATTTTGTAATTTTCAACTGCAATCTTTTCTATCTTTACATAGACTTATATATTTGTCAAATAACTATAAATACGAATGTACAGCTTTAGTACATAATTTCGTCGAAAATAAGATTTTCTTCGTTGAAGTCTCTTTATTTCTGCTCAATAGTTGATACCTTTTAATAGTGCCGACAGTCAGTCAGTCAGTCAGTCGAGAATTTTATTTTATCTCCGACATAAAGTAATGATGACTATTAATTGACAATAAGATTGTATGCTTTTTCCGGTTCAATGAATTCATTCATTGGTAATCAAGATAATCTTTATTTATTTAACATGTGGTAATGTACTAATAACATGTTACCCTATGGATAAATATTAAATGCTTATTTTTGTGTTTTTTTGTGCTAATTAAATAAATTCGTGTTGATTTATCATTATTCCATGTTGCCTCTCATTCTCTCTTTCCCCACCCAACACACATTTACATTTATGTGTTCTGCACAATAAACATCGTCGATATATATGTATATTTCTAATTTTTTTTTAATTATATAAGAAAGGATGTATACATTTCCATTATTTGTGGTATTTCTCTCTTTGTTTACTGTACTTCCTAGTGTTTGTTTGTTTGTGTGTGTGTTTGTATGTGAAGTTTTTCAGTATTTGTTATTCATTTAAAATAAACTAATTAACAACAATTAATGTATTGTCGATGTTGATTTAGTTGCCACTACAACTATTCATTCATTTAGTATAAACTAATAATTCATGTTATATTTTTCATTTCTGATTTATTTGAATTTCCTCTCTACTTTGTTCTGCACTACTTCTTTTTTTTTTAATCTTGTTCCTGACAGTTTATGTGTAACTCTGTTGGATTGGTTTGATTATCATGGACATATCTGTTTGGCATTTGATATACTTGGATTATCTGTTTTTGATTTCTTGGTAAGTAAATTATATTTGAATATTTTGAATATTTTCTCTTTTTTTATGGTGGTCGACTAAGAAAGGATTGTGGGATTAGGTAGGGTTTTGTTTATCGAAAATATGAAACTATTATTATTATTACTACCTATCTTTATATTGCCTTATTGTTGCTGGTGTTCATGTGATTTCCATTTTTGTTGCGTATTTTCAAAATTTTAAATAAAGTTAATTTGCACCTTGAGGAAAATGTACATTTTCTAATGTCATTTTTTGTATTAATTATAAAGAGAAATAGTATTATTATTACTACCACCGGTAAACACAATAATATCAGTAACAATAATACTACTGCTATTAATAGTAATAGTACTAATCGCAGGGTTATCAGTATCTTACTACTGTGGTCTTTATTGATAATGTCAGTTTCCATTAATTCTTAACTAACAACTAGTATATGTTTGTTTGTATATGTTATATATATATCTTTAATTGTTCGCTTCATTGAAATTCTCTTGGTACTATTTTTCTTTCTGTATTTAAAATAATTTCACTCTTTTTAGTACATTTTAATGCTTGTTGTATTGTTTACCTAATTGCTTATCTATCTACTTGTATATTATAACATAGAAAGGGAATATATATTCTGGATTTTGAAAATAAGTTTTTAATGATCAGAAGTTGAAAAATAACGCAGTGGTGTTTAAAGCGAACAGCACTGGATTCGAGTCCCTAAGTAAATATCAATTCTGGGATGGAGGTACATACAGCTGATGAATCACAAAAAGGACATGTCCTGGATTCCATTACTAGCCACTGTTCATCTGTGCTTATAATAGTTTTTCTTGTTTGATTTAAACTAATGATAGGTAGCTAGCTGCCTTCGTTGATGGGCACTGCTCAGTAGTTCTCTAGTAAGATAGGACGGCTGTCCATTGCTTCCAGGTTTTCAATTGTGATCTAGTTTCGATTGATTCGTGATTTAAATTTATTTAATTAGAGCCATATCTTCTCTCTGTTGATTTTAATCGAGTCTTTCTCGCTTTTACACAACTCTTATTTAATTGAAGTAGGAAATTCAATTCAATGGTATAAAAAGGAACTGTAGTAGATTTATCACTTAGACGCATTTAGAAGTTATTTTAAATATCTTGCATAGAGTAGGCAGCAGGTGAGTAAGTAAATACTGGCAGTTTAAACCATCGGTATCAATGAAGGTGAACGATGGATAATTGAAATTTCACTAACAGGAAGTTAATTAACCAAAGTATTATTGTATTTTCATATTAGTTACTAGTATTTGCCACTTTTCAATCACACTTGTGTTCATTCGCTAGCTTTTAGTTAAGAAAATGGATAGCTAAATACGCAACGATATGAGATTATTGACTGTTTAGTACCCCTGTAATAGTAGTTTACTAATAGTAGTTCGTGAATACATTTATTGAATCGTATCGGTTTTACATTCTTTTTCGATCGATTGATAAATAGTTGTGCCTGCAATTAATGTGTGTGTGTGTGTTCGATTCTGTGCATACCACATACATATATAACGTATGCGGACAGTCGACTTTGTTTTCTAATTATTGTCATAAACAGTATCCAATATTTTCTCTTGCTTTCGGCTGACAATCATAAGTAAATGCACTTGTCATCGCTCATAAATTGCGTCAATTGTTTATTGATCCCACTGTTAGTACGTGTATACACAAATTTTCCACTGCCTAGTTTCTTTGTCAATAGAAAGTTTGTCCGACCAATCATTGACAAACTATGTGTCATCGATCTATTTTGTATTAGTGTTCGTTTTCTTAAACACACACTGTGATTCTCATTACTTCTATATATAATGCTATTTACAGCCACTTTTTCCGGTCAATTTCTTCACTCTTGGTAGTATGTATATGATTATTATATTTTAAGAAATCTTTACTAAATTATTGTAGAAAATATTAAATTACTGTGAATATTCTTAGATCAGTGTGTGAAAAAATAGGCTTATTGCACAGTTATAAACTAAAGAATATATGTATGTGGTTAAGCTGGTTCTGTGGCTGATTGGTTAAAGCGTTCATTTCCTATTGAGTGTGTGACTCTTAGGTTCGATCTTCACTCTATCTACTTCTGTTTGGACAACCAAGTAGTATTACTAGTATTTATCTTATTTCATTTATTACTAGAAGTAAAGTACATGAATCTGTACGTAATTAATTTTGTACATTATTCTCTACTGTACAGGAAAAATTATAAATATTAGTCCAGTTAGATTTGATTTAATTTTTCAGTTGAATAGCTTTAATCACTTAGAGCAGTAATGACAAGGTTAACCTTTAAAAAATAAGAATCATAATAATTCACCCTTTATTTCTGTCATTAAAATATTCATTCTTGTATCAAACCGTTGGTGCCATTCATAAGTTTTTTTTTGAGTTGGCTATATTTTCCTCATTAAGATGCTAGTTAATATTATCGCCAATTTATCAGCTTTATGTATGTTCATGGTTAAACTATGGTAATACATTTCGTTTACACAATGTTCAGCAGTACTAGTTTGTATTTAGTTGTCAAATGATAATAGTCATTTATAGTCGTAGAAAATTGTAATGTTCAACAGATATGTGTGAGGGCTGTGATACTACCCGGGCGCCCAAACCGAAGCAGGTGGTTTTCTTAGGGGGGCCACACCCGGAGCGTTCGAACTGAAGGTCTGATCCAAAAGGCAGTGGAGCATCGTAAGGAGACGCAGTCTCATGGTAGCCGGTGACCAACGATTGGTTCATACACCATTTGTTCCTTCAGGATACTGGAGCCCATGTGCACCAGCGCCGGACATTCTCTTTTCGTCCTCTCAATTTTGTAAACAACACCCCCGCCACGAGATGGCAGTTAGTAGGACTTCCCTGGCAGAGGCTGTATACGCGTTGTCATGTGAGAGCACTTGGAGAGGGTGAGCGGACTCTCCCCACTCTCGGCCATACCAGGGCATTTGGGGGCAAAGGTCTTTATTACTGGTTATTTGTTAAAGTAACTGTAATAGTTCCGTTAGACTAATCTCTACCTTTGATTATTCCAGTTCATACGAAAAGTTATTTTTTGAAGTAATAATAATAATAACAACAAATGTTTAGTTACTATTGACACTAAACTGCTGTACTTCATGATTATCGATTATATAATTAAAAGTTTTAACGATGTTTTCTTAAAAAACCTAGCAGATATCGGAAGCACATTTTATTGATTGAACTTCCATTTTTTCTAAATGATTCAATATTACTCAAGTATAAAATGAGCAATATTAACCTAGTTTATAGTAAATATTAGACTCTATGCAAAGTCTTATTCATGCGTTTAGCGTATTTTTTTTACATATCCTGACGTTATTGTTGTATCTTAGATGTCTAGTCTATCCTTAAACTTTGATTAAGAATCAAATTTGTAGTATATTAACTAATTTATTATTTGAAGTGATATTATTCTTAATAGATTAGTTACAGACTAATACATATAAGATCTGCTTTTATATCTTATCTCATCCGATAATGATCAACACAATCTATTTATTATATTTATAGCATACATTTTTCTGATGTAATATTAATCATCTCAAGTTGGATAAGTTATGTAATTTTCATTCTAAACATAAATGTTCTTTACCCTTTTTTTCTTCTATTTGTTTTTCTTCTTTTTTTTTTAAATTTTATAGAAAGAAAATAATTATGTCGGTTATCCAATGGAACATGTTCGTCATATATCATATCAATTATGTTATGCTGTTCGATTTTTACATGATAATCAATTAACTCATACAGATTTAAAACCAGAAAATATATTATTTGTTGATTCCGATTATATATCAGTACATAATCGTAAAAAACGTCGTCATGAACGTATGGTTAAATGTTCCGATATACGTTTAATTGATTTTGGTTCAGCAACATTTGATTATGATCATCATTCTACAATTGTATCCACAAGACATTATCGTGCACCTGAAGTAATACTTGGTTAGTTCATTAATTAATTAGTTAATATTATAAATATATTATAATTATTATGGATAAAATCGAAATGAAGAATCAATGAAAATCTGATCTTTTCCATGATCATTAACGGTGTGGAACTTAATGGTTGATGATATCATAACTATCAGTAATGTGTCTGCTTCGGTTTCGGCACCCGGGCAGTATCACAGCCCTCATACAAATCAATTGAAATTCGTGTGGCGCATATGTATTTGATGCCTTCTTGTACCAATACCTAGGTGTTAAAATAATTAATAAAAATAAATCAGTAATGTGCTATCCTGAATAATTCATTATGAAATAATTATTTAACTACTAACTAGTTAGCTGTTAACCGTGTTCCATTCAACTTTTCATTAAATGTCATATCTTGTCAAAGATATTCATAACATTTGGAAGTTTTCAATAGTGATATCAATAATGTACATAAAATCTTATCAGAAATAAAACATTCTTGTTATTCTTATGTAATCAATCGATCAAGAAAGAAATCAGGACGCTGGAGATTTTATAATTTTAAATAATAGTTTTTGGTAGTGTTGTGTTCTACGAGATAGATTGTTGAATTGGCGAAAGCTTTCATTGTCATTTTAGTCAATATAAGAAGCTTCTACTTCATGTATAAGTGAACCTTTTCAGTTATTTCACAAGTGTTATGTCAGTTCGTTCTAGTGACTTTGTTTATTATTAGTTGTCTTTGTAGATTTTCTTGTATTCAAATTGAGTGTCTTAATTTATAGACCTTTGGTTGTATGATTGAGTGACCTTTTCTACTTGCATTCATAGATTATATCTACGTAGAAGTGCGTATTAAGTACCGACTTCTGTGAATGCCGTTCTTTTAAAAATTATCTGGCGTCCTTAGAATTTCGTAGATATTTTCCAAGATAACAATAACCATCGAGCTCACAAAACACAACACCACTGAAAGAAGTCATTAAAAACACGTGACCAATGTCAACAAATAACATGCGGTCTCCAAAAACTGCTGAATAAGAGAATAAATTTCAAATTAGTCGATTTTCATTGGCAAAATACTTTGTTTATTTGTCAAGTATAGATTTATTTACTTGGTTTTAACTGACACTATTTCTGTGCCGAGGCTAGCGTTACTACCTAGATTCTAAATTCCCTATAATTGACTGAGACTCACAAAAGTTTCTTGTAAAATTTGGTTTTATTTTGGAAATTACTGATCAATGCAAAAATACCCCGCAGTACATTAACTTTCCTTATAATGATTGGTTTATGGGAAATAAATGAATTCCAAGACGAAGTAATCGTCCTGTTCAGCCGGATGTACTTGCTCATCATTTATTCCCACTGTTGTCCATAATCTATTTTTTTAAACGAAACTCTCAACGAAGTTTTTGAATCCAAGCTATCTGGTTAAATTTCAGTCTTGAACCGAGATAATTCAGACTCTTACAAATTATTAGTAGAATTCATTTTGTTTTTATATTAAAACTGAGTAGTTTTTTTTATATTCATATATTTATCTCTCCGAACAGAATTAGGTTGGTCTCAACCATGTGATGTTTGGTCAATTGGATGCATCATGTTTGAATTGTATACAGGTTATACACTTTTCCAGGTAAGTTGTTCTTTAGTATCGATATGTGTGTGTTTATCTACTTCTTTTTTGACAAAAATATAAACTATCGCTTTTTTAAAGAAAAACTAGTGCAGTGTAATAAACTAATCAGTAGAACGACAATCGGTTGATGAAGCTGTAAATTGTCATCGACTGAAGTAGTTCTGACATGCGTCCCCCATATCAACGGACAATATTAGCCAGTGATTGTGGAAATTTTAAGAAAGCTAGAGGCATAATCAACGTTGTTATTGACTGAAATAACTTGTATTAAAATACATTTATTCAGTTTATCGTAGTTGTGAAAAATCCAGCGTAAAATCAGCAAAATTTGATTAATTTTAGCATGTATATGTGCTATGTTTGAAGAGATTGCGAATCCACCTAATCTACAGACAGAACGAAGACTCAGTGACACAATGAACAAATAAGCTAGCTTTTCTACTGCGTCCCAAATCCACTAACTAGAGAGAGAAGTTCTGGTTCAGAAGAGGGAAGTGTATTCCACAACCAGCCAGAAGCACGATCAACAACAAGCACAACTCAAGTGTATATATGCAGCATAAAATTGTCCTTGCGAAACGTTTCCAAATAGCATATTAAAAGAGACAACGAACCGATGACATTTAAGGTCCTGACAAGTAAAAAATACGGTACGTAGGTGAAAAATGGTATATTACATATATATATATATATATATATATATATATATATATATATATATTGACACCAGAGACGTTCTATTTGAGTTCGACCACTCTTAAAGCTACTAGTAAGCGCATTATCAGCGACCCACGTTTATGACACCTAATATTCTGTGATATAAGCATATTTTCTACTGGAGATAAAACTTCCTCTTTTGGATAGTGTTGTTATCATGTTTTTGAAATAAAGTCGTTCTGGGATTTATGTCAGTCGTCTTCCAGTCTCGTAAACGTTTATCACTGTATCTCTTGGTCAGCATTCTATTCAGGTATTATGACAATCAAGAACTTTTTCAGCAAATAAACTTAGTATTACAATTATAAATTGTCATTGGATAAGTTTATTTTATAGATGACATCTCGAACCCACCTTAGTTGATCAACCATTATTACTATTAGATTCCTCACCAGTGCATGTTCAAAATTTCATTTTTTAGATTGAAGTCAAGACATTTAACTGTCGTGGCGAATGATTGACCTTGTTAGCACATAATTTAGATCGAGTGGTGTTCATTTCGTATTTTAAACTATAATATTCAACAATCTCCTTGCATGGATAAGTTTGTATTCTTAGAAATGTATCCAATACTTACATTAAGATATTTAGTTAAATGTCTACATGTTTATATGTGGGCTTGGAGTTTTTATCCTTTAATTTCTGGAGAATCTATCAGACAAATCTCTACTTCTATCATGTGTATATGCTATTTTGTACAGTCCATATATCTTTAATGTTCATAGTCAACACTTGTTACGTTTTATTAAAAATTAATGAAAACAAATAAATATACAAAAATCTGTTACTATTTTCATTTTAGACTCATGATAACCGTGAACATTTAGCTATGATGGAACGTACTTTAGGTCATATTCCTTATCGGATGACTAGAAAGTCACGGTATGTTATTATTATTATTATCTATTACTACAATAGTATTGTCTATATGTGATTTATATCTTCAAAATATATTCGTGTTGTTCAATTCTGTCAAATAATTGCAGAGCTTTCATTATCGTGTTTGAAAACATTTTCAACACTTCAGTTCATGTAGAAGTTAATGGCTATCTTGTTCAGTTAACTTCTAGCCATGTGGTTAATTGATCTTCTTACATAAGTAGTTTGATAGGTCGTATGTACTTCAATGCATCTCTTGGTCTGCACAGTTATAGATTTGTGGAACAAGCGAGTATATGAAAAGACTGATGAAGATAAAGTCTATGAGTACAATTAATTATACGCAGAGAAGGTCAGTATGACAAACTGACATAAAACTTGTTGTATAACGAAAAATAACTCACTTCTACATGTAGTAGACGCTAATAATATTGTTATCCCGAATGATAATGAAAGCTCTAATCAATTAAGCTACCTATCTTGAAGGATACGATACTACCAAGATCATCATCCATCTGAGTTACGAATCTCCATTTCCACCGTATAAACTATCCATTATTAAACAATGTTATAAATAAGTTTAATGTGTATATAATAAAATGCTGTGTCACTACATTTCATTCGTTCCACTCATACCTTAGATTACCACTATCTCTCTTATTGTTATTTCCAATCTATCACTTTTCATTATATTTCCATAATATGCTGCTATAGAGTAAAACAATGCAGCTCTCGAACTGATATTTATATCAGTTATTAATTAGTTTACAACTAAACTAACTGATCCAACTGTCTACATAATTTCTCAAAAAATTAGAATTTGTTGTTATTGTTGAAAAATCACCGCGCAATATGTACATTAATACGATATGCGGGTGGAGGCTATTCATTCGGAGCCAGTCATCATCATCATCATCACTACATAAAATATGTTTACATCAATACTCATTTTGTGTGTTTAGAACTGGGTTTTTCTATCATGGACGTTTGGACTGGGATTTTTATAATCAAGAAGGTCGTTATGTTCGTGAGAATTGTCGTCCTTTACTTGTAAGTTGTTGATAAGTGATTATACAAAAAACTATTCAAGCTTGTTTCATGGGCACACAGTAAATATATTTTGAAAGAAGACATTTATCCTACTGCATCGTGCCAACATTATACCATTATAATTATCATCAAATGAAAAGAATGCTCACATCAGATATCTTTTCTTTTCCACTCTCCAGACTGGGTTTATGTATTTTTTCTAAAGGGTTTCTTTTGCATGCGTTTATTTGCATCCCATCTATTTTTATTTAATTACTTGTTTGCTAAATCACTTCTAATTATCTTAACATTATGGATGGATCCATCATACTCTGCGGTTAATTCGAGATTTTCATCGAATAATAACTATTATTAATATTATTGTTAATCTTATTGTAATGATCACAATGCATGCACACATACGCACACGTATCTATCTGTGTTTCTAGTCGAACCAAATACTTTGATACATCTGGCAATCTTTTATGGGATGCACAATCACGTGAAGCTAAATATGTTCTGACGCATTGTCGTCCATTCCGGGTAACTTTAATTATTTTGTTTCCTTATCACTTGTTGCATAATCATGAATGTTTATCTTGTTTACTACTAATATTATCTCCGATTTGTTCGTTTATGTATGTATGAGTATGCGTAAATATTGCATAATGCGTCTGCCTTATTTGCTCATGTGAAACGCTTTACTGAATATTTATTTGGTTTGTTTCTGGGCTTTTTTGTATGGGGGTGGTTTATCAGATTTTTTCCTGTTTATTTTAAATTGAGCTACATATGTGCATATATTTGTTTTTATCAAATTAATCTCGATACTTCTGTTCACTATATTTATTGTGAAGGATCAATAGTTAAAGTTGTCACTAGCGCTTTCCTGTTGGATTTATTTAATCAATATATTCACTTATGTTAGCTGGTATGAAGAAATACGTTCGAAGATAGCTAGGTTCAGCCAAATTAATACGTAATATTCATGGGCTGTTAGATCAAGGCGTGTAGATGGATCGAGAATATTTTATTGGATTCTTTGCTATATATCTTGATTATTTCATCATACTGTACCGTTATAGTGTGACAATTTGAACGAACGCCCATATTATGTCAGATTCTGTAATGGATATGACAAATTGAGTTCTGCAGTCCTGTGATTAACTGCCACTTATTTTTAGATTTGGTGGCTTTTTCCTTGTTCGATCTGTCATCTTTAGCTTTATATGTTATATAGATGTAACGTTTCGGGACCATATTTTTGAATAGAAGTTAAGGAAACTCATTACTTCAATAATTTAAACGTACAAACATTGGTACATGAGAGTTTCATTAATAACACGTCTCTAGAAGGCAGTGAGTAGGACTTTCTTTGGTAGTAGCTCTATACGCGTGGCCATGTATGAGCATTTGGAGAGGAAGAATTGACTCCCCACCCTCGACCGTACCAGGTTATTTAATATATTGTAGGGTCAAAGCTGATAGTTTTATTTACATTTGTCACACTAATTATATTGCATTGTCTAACAAATAAATTACGCTAATCGTATTTCTTTTTTTGTTTTACTTCTATCGGTTATTTCATTAATTTTCAGCGTTATTGCAAAGATGAAAGTCAAGATACACTTGATCTATTTGATTTAATGTCTAAGATGTTAGAATATGATCCAGCAGATCGTATTCCTTTGTCTGCAGCACTTACACATCCATTCTTTTTACATTTACCATCACATCAACGTTTAACATATACTCTTCATCCATCGGATACAATTCCGCCTAATGAACGTCGTACATCTGGCTCACGTAGTGGAACAAATAATCAACAACCATCAACAACAGCGAATAATGGCTCATCATCTTCATCATCAGTATCATCAGATGTTAAACGTAATCGGTAGAGATCACCATCTGATAATAATTAGTATTTTTATTCTATCAACGTTGTTAGTTATCAGTTAAAATTGTAATGTTTTTGTTTTTGCTTTTCACTTATTTTATCTCCTCAAATCGAGAAGAAGAAGAAGAAGAAGAAAATCATACCATTTTTCTTTCGAAATAATAATAATAAAACTCCTACTCTGAAATACTTCACTGTTCAATTTGTTTTATGGTGTTCAGCACACTAATCTGTTACAATAAACACATATTTTGTTGTTCATGTATATAGAGCTTTGTAATATGTTTAGTGTGTGATGAATGCTAAAGTTTTCATCTTTCAATTATCGTTATTGTTGTCGTTGCCGTCGCTATCATTGTCTCCTTCCTCTTCGAATTCTTGACTTTTTTTTTCTAATGAAAAGAAGGTTGGTAAGAAAAAGATATTTAAGGTTTGAGTATAACAAACATTACTTTTACTCTTACCTACTATTATCATGCTGTCAGATACGCATATACATATTGTTTGCTATCTCTTTCCATTTGTGTATGCTTATTGTCTTTCGTTGGTATTTTAGTAATTATCCTCTAACCTTCTTTTTTTTGTTGCTTGATACTATAGGTCATCTATTCATATGTGCTTGTATGTGTTCTTGTTTACATTTGATAAATTTCTTCCTGGTAAATGATGAATAGTCCATCAATTACTGTTTTCTTGTTCCGATCTGTTTTTGATTGCTATCGTGTAGAGAGAAAAAGAGACAGTTTTGCTTATTTCAACATTTATATATGTATTTGTTATTGGGATTCATAAACTTGGATCGATAATAAAAGGGATGTATTTGCATATGATTCGATGACGTGGTACAGCTAATCTGTGTAGTGTATCTGTGTGCGTGCGTGTGTGTGTTGATAATGTACACTTTGGATTGTTTTTTTTTGAGTACTTATAGGTGCTAAGTTTTTGTTTGAATTTCTTCATGTGGTTAAAATGAAATAAGAATGCATGCTAAAACAGTGTATCTCAGTTCTTTTTTTCCCTATCAAGCATTCTATCATAAATATCAGTAAAAACAACAGGTCAATGATTGTTTATTTAAATGATTATTATAATGAGTCTGAATAATAGAAACTTTTCTCAACATTATTCTATTTCATCCTTATTCTTCTTCTTTTATACCTTTTCTCTCCTTCACTATCTCTCGCACATATATTGTACACCATGTTTTATTTAATGATCATTATCACAATTAGTTTGTATGAACCTGTTATCATTATACTATACAAATGTGTTTTAATGAAGCATCGATTTGTTTATTGTGCCTGATAGTATTCATTTGAATTTTAAAAATAAATGATAAATTAATGAACTATTATTACTGAATAAATAATAAGTAGTAACAGAATTACATGTACCGATTGAGAATATGTGTATACACTAATATTAGTAGTTTTTGCTTTGTCAATCTTTATTCTATTCTCTTGGAGATTATAGTTTATCTTTTTTGATTATATAAAAAATAATAATGTGACAAAGAATGTAATGAACTATCTATCCAATTAACTACTAATATCGTTATATATGTACATGTATGTATGAATTGAATAGAACAACAATTGTATGCTATATTTTCTTTAATGTTTCATTTCTTTTGTTTTCTAAAGAAAAAAAAAACAATGTAATCTTATATCTTATCTTTTGTTCTCTTTCTATCTATCTATCTATCTCTTTGTCTTTTACCTTGCCTTTTTTACTTTTTCAATGTCTCTTTTTATCTTTTCTCTTTTTCTAGTAATTTCAATGTAAAATGTTCATATGTTTTCATAAAATACACATACAGAAAAAATTAATAAGTGAACAATTATTGGTTTTTAGTTTTTTTGTTCAACCATCAATGACACCTTAATCATTTAAATTTTAATGATTAAGATTTTAAGTTGATTAAAGGTAGATTATCATGGATAGTCTGGAAGCACTGAACAGATGTTTTGTCCCTATTGTGTGACTCCTCAATAGTGTGTAGCCACAATCCCGTCTCATGGGGTGCAATAAACATTCGTTATGTATTTAAATATTAATTATATTATTATTTCAATGTATAATTCATTTACTGAATCGAGGAATTTATGTACTCATCTTATGTATCATATTTCAAGTGTTTGAGATTGCTTAAATTGAACTAGATTGAGCAAAACTCGAATTTGTTATCTAGAGAGCAAGAGTTGAATGCTTTAAGCTAATAACTTCATTTTTGTATAAAAGAATGGTATATTAACAAATATTACAGCTCAACTTTATTGTAATAATTATTGGTTATGTAGATTATGTGTAAAATCTATCTAAATCGCTAACGGAATTCAATATTGTTATAACGGTTGGTTTACCAGGTTTACACTTATGGGACGTTAATTTACATTAGACTAAATATCTACATTAGATTCCCTCTCAGTGTCTATTATTCTACAAGACTTAAACATAACTCAGATGATCAAGAACACGTGATTAATCTGACTACAATGTAAATATATTTCCACACCAAAAACCCGACACAATCTAACAACATTGAACAATCAATAATAAGTGAGTAATAATAATAAGGATAAGGGAATATATAACTCATCTAACACCTTTCAGAATATCTACATATTTGACTAAGCAGGCATCCAATCATTCTCGCCGACACATCAAATATTATTTTAATTTTCAGTTTGATTGAGTTGACATCGTCATCAAATCGGCTGAATTAGTTGGAAGACTTCATTTATTTAAAAGAAATATTATCAATATGTTCATATAAGCGTATATTGATATATGATAGGGTGAGGCTATAATTTATGGGCAACATTTGGGCGACGCTAGACTGACCTTGAGAGTGTCCACTTGATAACCAGGATCAAATGAGGGTTATAAAGCTGTGTGAAAACTAGAATTATGTTTTACATGTGATGATTAAGATTATCTATAATGCCAAAACTCTTTATCCGAATGAATGAGTGAATTTCGCGTCAAAATCACAGACCTGTTATTTTATACGAGATGTAATGTAATTTGAATAAAGCACATTCTTCTGATTCTAGTTCATCAATTTTAGTTTACTTACGCCTGTTACTATTCGTGAAAGCATAGACTGCAGACCAGGATTACCCAGTCAACTCTCCCTTCGATTTGTTGTCAACTGATATCTATTTTTTTTGTTCGCCTCCGATTCTGGACGCAAGGTGTTCTTTGGTAGACCTATCTTTCTTTCGCCTTCAGGCTTCTAGGTTAGAGTATGCCTTGTGACAGTTTGATTCCCGCATTGCGTACCTTATGCACCTTCAGCGTCTTTCCTTGATTTCCTCTTCAGCTGTCTGTTGGTTTGTTTTTCCCACAGTACGTTGTTGCTGATGGTCTGGGGTATCTTGCATAGATAGTTGTCTTTTAATACCTGTACATTTTTGATGATTGTAGTTCTCCAGGTTATAGTTACGTACAATAAGACTGTCTTGATATTTAAGTTAAAGATTCGGACTTTGATGCTTGACAGTTATTTTGATTTTCAAATGTCCTTAAATTGTTGGAATGTTATCCTTGCTTTTCTAATCGATACCCTCACATCTGCATTAGACCCTTCTGGTTTATCAGTGATGCTACTAAAATATGTAAAATGTCTCACGTATTTCAAAGCTTCTCTATGAAGTTTGGTTCAATTGATTAATTAAAAAAACTGTATTTCCAATGAAAAATCAGTCAACATTAACTTGAGATATAAATAAATTGGCTTTAAGTCTATTGCGAATTATTGGTTCAATCTTTGAGGATGTACAAAGTGATGGGTTGGTGATCACTGGTGATTTGTTACATCATAACGTTAGAGACTTTATTGTGGATAACGCTAGGGCATTTGAAGCGAATGGTACTGGGTTCGAGTCCCAGAGGGAACATCAACTCTGAGATGCAGGTACATCCAGCTGACGAGTCCCAAATAGGGCGAAACTTGCGTCCTGGTTTCCACTGCTAGCCACTATCCAACTTTGCTTACAAAAAGCTTGTGAATTTAGGCAATATCGAGGCATACGCACAGTATGCACATATGCCAATAACATACTGATCATTTGCAATCCTAAAACTCAATGGGAAGGTACAAGCCAAACAATACCAAGTGAATACTTACCTTTGTCTGAAAATATTGAGGTAATCTGCTTTATATTCAGTGGCATAATATTTTATTCATAAGTTAAAAGTTTGTTTCCATTGAATTTTTATATAAAGCCAAGTTACTAGTCAACTGACAATTGATTCGGAAACCTCTGCTTCTGTCCAAAACATAGTACGGTCTAAAAAGCGAATTATACTTTTATTTGTGTAGAGAGCCTGTGTAGATTTTTGAATTTCATAGCTTATACCACGAGCTGACTTTCGCTAAAACAACCACTAAAATTCAGAAAGCGCCGGACAGCTTTTTCGTTCTAATATGGCTTTTAGATCATCCATTGGTTTACATTTCAAACTTCAGTTAATTTGCAATATTGAACGTCCATTCTCCAAGTCTGTTGTTAAAAAACTGCCTCAATTTTGATGTAGTAAAGCTCTACTAGATGCATCGCATCGGGACGACAAAGCTATCCAGTACTTTCTGATTTCCAATTGTTCCGTAACTAATGTCAGTTGATTATGTCCCCCATAAACATATTTTTCCCTAATTGTTCATCTTTCTCCACATTGTTGAAGTTTAGTCTTTTGATCATTGTAATATTAAGACTTGCAATGCCTATATATAAATTTTATTTACTATTACATAACGTCTTAACTGGTGAAAATCATTTAGGTACGTATATTCTTCTGATTCATCCGACTTGGACCATCTATACGAGCTGCCATGTCTGATTCTATTCATATCTCACACTATTCTCATACACCCGAATTCAACTCTTTCCTTCACATCATAAATGTCACATTCTTCATCCACACACATTTACACAAATATGTCTCACATAAATCATCTTAACCGGAATTACATGACACTGACTTGGTCAGATCAGT